GGGACAGGCAGGAGCTCCAGCTGGGGAGGAGTAAAGCATGGAAGATGTTTGGGGTGTGCTGAGCTGCCCCCCTGCTCCCCTGAGTGGGCAGAGGAGACCCACAGTCCTTGTCTTGCCCCCATCGGTCTGCTTTGATCAGGAAAGCAAGAACCCACCCCGCTGAGGGCACCTTTGCCATGGAGAACATCTCCCCAGGGAGGAGACACCCAAAAGGTCCACAGATACCTTAGTAACCTGGAGTGGTCCAACCACGTTGGTGGCAAACACTGAGAGCATCTCCTGGGAATCCAGGGAGCGCAGTGTGGCGTGGGAGCTGACACCCGCATTGTTGATGAGCAAGTTCAAGCCCTGGTCCTTCAGATGAGACCCCACAGTCTGCACGGCCCTTTGGATGCTGGGCAAGTTCACTGTGTCTGCCGGGGCAAAAAGCAAAGTGGAGGAGAGCTCCAGTGGGTCACAGAGCGTCCACGGGAAAGCGTGCTGTGTCTGGCACAGCTCCCTTCAAACCAGTGCTACCCAGGGGAACTGGGTTTAGCGGGTCAGGGTATCAAGCACATGGAAATGAGCAGCTCTTTGTCCTCACCTCTTGGTTTCACAGCCTTAGCTGAATGAAACCTCCATTCAGCTCCTTTTCACATGGAGGCTACTAGAAAGAAGAACTTATCATTGAATCGTTTGGGTTAGAAGGGAAATTGAATATCATTTAGTTCCAACCTCCTGGCCATGGTCAGGGACACCTCCTGCTAGAGCAGGTTGCTCAAAGCCCCACACAACCTAGCCTTCAACACAGCCTGGAATGGAGCATCTACAACTTCCCTGGGCAACCTGGGCCAGTGTCTCACCACCCCCAGAGTGAAGAACTGAGCTACATTTGTTTTCTGTATTCAGGGAGTTTAGAATTGCACGAGGAATGCTCGGTTCTTGCACGCTGAGCTTCCACATTTTAGTTCCACCAGAAGCCAATGCAGCTGGGTGGGCACATTAAGGATAGCCCCTGTCTTTGGAGGAGCAACCTAACACTGCTCTCCAAGTCCTCCTGTGCCGCACAGCAGCTACAGGGGCTGTTAACATAGCGGGGGACACACACATTCACTTTATTGCTGAATTATATTAAGACCTTTTCTGGTTGATACCTGTTCTGACTGAGCATTTAGAGCTACCTTTGCCTTTTTTAACAATTTGTTCTTAAATGAACCACAGCACAACTTCAAAGGGCTTTGCAGCCATCTGTATGCAAAAATCCTTCCTTTTTCCTTTTCTTTTTCTGTTGTTTAGAGGGTTTTTTGCTTCACATTCTTACCAATGAGGATTTGGAGCTGACACATCACAGAACCATGGAATTGTTTGGGTTGGAAGGGACTTTTCAAGGCCATCCAGTCCAACCCTCCTGCAGGGAGCAGGGACATCTGCAACTACAGCAGGTTGCTCAGAGCCCCGGCCAACCTCACCTGGAATGGTTCCAGGGATGGGGCATCCACCACCTCTCTGGGCAACCTGGGCCAGGGGCTCACCACCCTCATCGTGAATTGTAGATAAGTGGAGTTGAGTACAAATAAGAAAAGATTTGGGGTATAACCTGCAGGATTTGGTTGCAGGCTCTGAAGTCTGAACTTCCTCATCTCTACAGATGCTGCGGCCAAGCTGTGGGCACAACCCCACTCAAGCAACCAGAAACGATTGAAATGGCGCGGTGCGTGTACACCACCAAGCCCTTCGGAGCCATCAGTAGCCACGTGTGGGCTCGGTGGCGTGTGAACTTTGCTCCCGGAGCACATCTCTGCACACGTTTTCTGGAGGTGTTAATCTGATGGTCCTGCTTGATCACCCAGCTGGATTTCTTTTTTGCAACACTTAGGCCCCTGAGCTGTGTTTCTGTTCTCACGCTTAGACATGACCAACTTAGGAAAGGCCTCCAAGGCTGCGGGCTCCCTGCTTGGAGTATTGCGTAGACTGAGGAGCAGCAGAACAACCCTTTTCCTTGGTATTTTTTACTAGCCTGAGGTCTTCATGGTGGTAAGCATATATTTGAGCAGCCTGGGACTCGTTGCCACCTTGCCTTGTGCAGCATAGACATTCGTGAAGGTGTCATGAAAACATTTTTGGGGAATTTGATGAGATAATCTGCTGTAACATTGCAGTATGTGAAGGGATGGAGCCCTGGCATTCAAGAGGACACACGTGGCCAGCTGAAGGACCTATCACAGGGTGCTTTTTGGTGACCTTTCTTTGGACAACGATTGAATAGAGTTCAAAGCTCCAGCACTCCACCACATTTGAGGGATCTTTCAGTTGCTTTGGTAAATTATTAACTCCTCGTTTGGATGAGCTGAGTCATTGCTTCAACAGGCCAGGTCTGTGGGACCAGCACGTGTCTAGTGCCAGATGGGACAAATTTGCTGGAGGAACAAACTGTTTTCTCCTTGGAAGGATTAAGAGGATGACAAAAAAAGAAAGAACAAAAGGAAGTGACAGGTCTTGCCCATTTTGGAGTTAATTTCTAACCTTTCTTTCTTTCCAGAAGACCACCAGCAGCCTGGCCTGGATCAGCAGTAGTGTGATCAGCAAGACTAGGGCAAGGATTGTTCCCCTGGACTGGGCACTGGGGAGGCTGCACCTTGAATCCTGGGTTCAATTTCAGGCCCCTCAGTCCAAGAAAGACTTTGATGGGCTGAAGCGTGGTCAGAGAAGGGCAACAAAGCTGCTGTGGAAGGGTCTAGAGCCCAAGTGTGGCGAGGAGCAGCTGAGGGACCTTGAGGAGTTGAGCCTGGAAAAAAGGAGGCTCAGGGGAGACCTTCTGGCTCTCCACAGCTTCCCGACAGGAGGCTGGAGCCAGGTGAGGGTCAGGCTCTTCTCCCAAGGAACAAGCAACAGGCCAAGAGGAAATGGCCTCATGTTGTGCCAGGGGACATTTAGGTTGGATATGAGGGAAAATGTCTTGACTGAAAGGGTTGTGGAGGCCTGTTCCAGGCTGCCCAGGGCAGTGGTGGAGTCCCCATCCCTGCAGGGGTTTCCAAGCCGTGGAGATGTGGTGCTGAGGAACGTGTGTTAGTGGGGACCTGGCAGTGCTGGGTTAAGCATTGGACTTGATCTGAAAGGATTCCTCCAAACAAAAATGATTCTATGATTCTACAAGTCCATGACTCAGTCTCACAAGGACTTTGGTCATGATATTCCTTTTTGTTTGTACCACAGGTGACCACTGCAACTGTGAGAAAAGTATGCCCAGCTCTAGCTTCCCACACCACACCTGATGGTGCTTCCTACAAACATCTTACATGAATATGACAAACCAGAGATTCAAAGGTGAAGAACACAAAAAAGACCATCTGACAGCAAACACTGTTTGCACAACGTGAGGTGGAGGCAAGTTAAAACGAACCAGGTGTATTTTCACTACCTCAGCAGCTTCACAGACTCTGCTGGACTCTCTCCAGCAGTTCCTTGTCTCTCTGGAACTGGGGAGCCCAGCACTGGACCCAATACTCCAGAGATGGCCTCACTAGGGCAGAGTAGAGGGGGAGGAGAACCTCCCTTGACCTGCTGGCCACACTCTTCTTCATTTACCCCAGGAGACCATTGGCCTTCTTGGCCACAAGAGCCCATTGCTGGTTTATGGGCAACCTGTTGCCCACCAGCACTCCCAGGTCCTCTATGGAGCTCCTTCCCAGCAGTTCAGCCCCTCAACTGTCCTGGTGCAGAGGGTTATTCCTGCCCAGGTGCAGAACTCTACACTTGCCCTTGTTGAACTTCACAAGGTTCCTCTCTGCCCAAGCCTCCCGCCTGTCCAGGTCTCTCTGAATGGCAGTGCAGCTCTGTGTCAGCCACTCCCCTCAGTTGTGTATCACCATACCACTGTCCCTTCATCCAGGTCACTGATGAAGCTATTGAACAAGACTGGACCTGTACTGATCCCTGGGGAACACATGTGCAGGAAACTACGTTCCTCAGCCTGGTGCTCCTTATCTCCCCATGCTTTACCCCAGTGCTGTCCTCTTCGAGCCCCCATCCCTGCCCAGCATCCTGGAAGCTTCGTGACTGCGAATGCCACAACTTTGGCAACACCAAACACCGTCCTGGCTGCTCTCCTTTTACTCCCTCAAGTCCCCAAGTCCCTGTGCTGTCCAAGTCCATTTGCCACCTTCTCCCACTGCTCCCCGGCGCTGCTGCTGAAGGCCACCAAATCCAGCCCACCTCCACAAGAGCAAGGGAAAGGGCATCTCCACAGTCCAGTCTGCAGACATCCTGAACTGGAGCAAGCCTCTGTGTCTGAGCATCAACCTGGGATACCACCACCACCACCAGGCCAGATTTCCCATCTGCATCCTTTTAGTTTATTTCTTGTCTCCCTTTTTTACCTGCAGCGAAGGAAATGCTGACCATGGCCACCTCCAAAGCAGCCCCCAAACCAACTCTCCTTCTTAAGAACCATTCAGTAAGTTTGCTTGCTGGGCCTTGCCTTGCTTCGCTTGGCCAATATATGGGTCCCAGCCCAAAACTCAGGCACTGTATTTAGCATTTTTAGGAAGAGAGGTCATGCCTTTCCCAGGAAATTTACTCAGCTGAGGTGTCCAGACCCACCTCTGCCTGCTTCCAAAGCCGGTTTGACCGCTTCCAGCCACAGGAGAGCTCTTTTTGGGAGGGGGAAGCCTGCACCCATCCCTCCCCACCTGGCAAGGTTGGAGCTACCTGGCTGCCAGTCTTAAGGCAGGTTGCCCAAGAAGCTGCCCCTTGTCCCTGTCCTGAAGCCAGCAGAGGGCTAGAAGCAATGTTGGGTGCAAGGAGGGAGGTTCAAACTTGCTCCATACCTAGCTGGACCAGTTTGATGTTGGGGTGCTGAGCAGCTAATTCTTGCAGGGCCTGGAAACAAAGTGATGGAGCAAGGGAAGAGGTTAGAAGTCACCGGCAGCACGTCTCCCACCCCTGCTCCCAGATCACCCCAGCTGGAGACGGGCCAGGGTGGCTTTGCTTTTGGTGGAGAAACGGTGTGGAGAAAGGGTGTGGGGACATTCCCAGTGAACAGGGCAGGGCGGGATCCCCACAAACAGCAGCAGAAGGGTGCTTCTCCTCCTCCATCCAGGGTGACCCCAGCATGGAGAAGGGGCTGGCCAGCCATCGCAGGGCTGGGAGCGAGC